CACACACACACACACACACACACACACACCTTGTGCTGCTGGCTACAGTATAAATTACTGCATATTTATTGGATGTGAATATTAACACTGCGTTATGCAGCTAATTTTAAATAGGGCAAGTTTCTGAAGTGTCAGTATAGACTATTAGGCTGTATTATACATTAATACTGTTTATTTGGTCCATATGTAAGAGCAATTCTTAATATAAGCTTCTTGTATTATGTCTAATTTTGACAAAATGTAATCAGGTACTAATCCTGTACTAATCACAGTAGTAATATTAAATAACACCATGTGTGTTGTAAAAACAAAAATGGATATTTCATTACTTGTGTGTGGAAGGAGATTATTGATCATGATGAAGTGATACCATTGGCAATAGAACCAAACGTTTTTTGCTTTTCTTCTTCAGTAAGATAGATATATGCAACCATTACTGTAACAATTTATTGTGGTTAGTTATTTGCTAAAATCAAGAAGCAGAAGCAGTAAATGTCAAAATAAAAATTCTCAAACACAACTGTCATTTGACAGTTAAAACACAGACATTCATTTCTTGTCATTAGTTTAATAATGGCAGTCTATAATAGTGGAAAATATAGAGCTTCTGAATAGTAATTAGCTGTTGTTTTGTTCACCAAGGTAACTTTATTAGGAGCTATGAAAGTGATAAAATTAGGAAACTGGATTATGTAAATTTAACTTATTTTTATTAATTTTTTTACAATAGTTGTATGATCAACAGTAAACTTAGTGTGACACTGAATTGAATATTTTTTTTTAAAGTGGTGGTATTTACTCATCTTCATGATATATATGTATGTATGCATGTATGTACATTTTTGTAAGTAAACATTTATGTGGAACATTTTACATTATCATTTAGACATTTACATGGCTAGCTCTGAACCTAATTAGTTACCTGAAGACAGAGGAAGGAACTTTTTGTTCTGTAATATTTTTTTTAGGAATGATCTTGGATACAGTGCCAAATTATGTAATTTTATATATGTTAAATATAATGACTTATTAGTCATTATTCTTAGTTATAAGTGCATTTTTCTTGGTACAACAATGAGGTTGAACTGGTTTTAGATATAATTTTTGCCAGAGTATTAAGAGTATTATATATATATACACACACACAACCATTTAGTGAAAATCTTTTTTTTATATATATATATATATTTTACATTTCAGCCAAGACAAATTTAAATGGTTCCATTATGGTGGGTCATTATTTTATGAGTGATTTTAATATACACATATAAAACTAATTATGACATCAAATATGATTTGCATTTATTAATATGCAAAATAAAATAAAGTTTGCACATGATTAATATGTATAAGAAAGCTGTGAATGTTTGCTTGAAAAAGATATTGAAAATTGAATATAACATTGAATTTTATTGAAAAGGACCTTGAGGTTTTACACTGTTTGTGGTACTTGTGTATTTGTATTACACCTATACTTACATGTTAAGTAGAATTTAGTAATATATTTGAAGCTTATACTTGTTTAGTAGAATATTGATTGTTAAATGGTATTTTGCTAATTATCATATATATAATCTTGACGGTTTGTTTTGTTTGCTCATTTTGAGAATGTAATTAATTTGTCAACGATTAATATTGAGCCTTATTCAAGCATTCCTCTTTCGTCAAATCCACATATTCGCTAACTGACTATGGAAATTATATTCGCAGTTACTGAACTGTTAGTGTAAGATAACAAAAAAATTATACTTGTACCATGTTTACTGTATACAGAAGAAAGTAAGTTAAACGTGTTCTCTGTTTTACACAATATTACTTTAAGTATAGATCATGTCCTGTGGGTGTTTGTTGTGTTTTATTGCTGTGAGAACCAAATGTTTTCTGATATACCTCATGTTTAATGCTTTTTGCCTTTTGGATATTAACCCACAGTTATATTATGTGATACATGAAAGCCATCTGTTTATATAATTAATATCTACTGTTATTGACAGTTCTTGCTGTTCATGAGCTTCAAAGAATATAAGAGAGACTTACTAATATGTATCTTTTTTTACTTTGTCTCTCAGTGGCTCAGCAGTAAATCAGTGGGCTAATAATGTTAAAAATTGGGTTTCGATACCGAAGCAAGCAAGCACAGATACCCCATTGTGTAGATTTTAGCTTTACAACAAACAAACTTTGCCTTTCACTGCTTTTAGGTAACTAGACATCTACATTTAAGTAAATCAAAATGGTTATTGTATAAATAATAAGACTGATATTTGAGCATTAAAGAGAAAACTTGTATTAGGAAAGTCTTTAATTTTGCAATCAAAATTTAAGTTTGAAACTCTAAAATATTTGGTTTTTTTCTTTGGTAAACATTCAGTGACATAAAAAAAAGCAACCTTAGAATGTAAACCTACATTAACTTTCTTTTCCAGCTTTTTTTGTGTAAAAAATCTACATTCTCATGTTGCAGTATTAAAGTAAAAATTTTCTGTTTCTCATTCCTCCCTACTCTTAAATTGTTTTTATTTTTAAAATACAAATTATGTCATTAATATAAAATGATAAAACCCTATAACCTGAGTGCTTTTTAAAGGTGGACCTTTCTTTTCAGGGGCAAACTTATTACTACAGTATATACATTAGCAGTATATAGTTTTGTCCTAGAAACACTTGTGTTGTAGCTACAGGTAAATATTGGTACAGATATGTTGAAGCATAATTGCCAAGCAGATTAGACAATAATCTGATAGAAAACTATAATTGAATTGGTGGTTGATGTTTTGATTATTACAAATGTTTTTTTTATAGTATTGTTATTTTCTTGTCATTGCATTTTAATTTTATAGTTTAATATCAGATAAAACATGATCTGGAGATTAAGATTAGACAAAGGTGTCTTTGAGAGACATGTGCAGGGATATTTTCATTATGTAACTACCAAATATCTAGGCTCCAGTTACATTTGTATATATAATTCAGTCTCTGAACACATGTGAATTCTTATATATGTGTATGTCATAATTGGAAAACTTAAAACATTTAGTTGTATGCTCACATTTTTATGTAAATTTAACATATAAATAGAATGTTAACTTTGCCAGTTTGGCAGTGTAGTAAAGAGAGAACTGTAGTTGCAATAGAATTGTTTTGTTAGCTCTGGAATAACCATCTGTATATACCCAGAATTTATGCTGCATAACAATAATTTGTTCATTTCACTTCTTTTTTCAGATAATTCAACAAAATCAAAAGCAGCCATTGAAGTTTCTGTTTATGACATTCATGCAACGATTGTAGAGATAGATTGGCACTCAAGAGTTGTTCATCAACAGAATCTCTCAGATTGTGAATTGGTGTACAGGCAACTTGACAGTCCAGAACAGGTCGAGGTTTGGTCAAACTTTATACCAACTGGCCATGTTTTTCCACTCACAGGACTGAAAAACAATGTAACATACCGCTTCCAAATGATCTGCTATGATATGAGTAGCAGAAAATTGGAATCTAACTATCTTGAGTTTACAACAGGTAATGTGTAGCTTCTCAGCTTCATTGAATGTAACCTTAGAGTTGCTTTTTTTAATTTGATTAAACAAGCTAGTAATATGGGGTTGAACAATTCAGATGTGTAACAGTATTGATTAAACAAGCAAGTAATATGAGGTTGAACAATTCAGATGTGTAACAGTATTGATTAAACAAGCAAGTAATATGGGGTTGAACAATTCAGATAATACTGCTACACATCTGAATTGTTCAACCCCATATTACTTGCTTGTTTAATCAATACTGTTACACATCTGAATTGTTCAACCCCATATTACTTGCTTGTTTAATCAATACTGCTACACGATTAGACAAGCAAGTAATATGGGGCTGAACAGTTCAGATGTGTAGCAGTATTGATTAGACAAGCAAGTAATATGGGGTTGAACAATTCAGATGTGTAGCAATATTGATTAAACAAGCAAGTAATATGGGGCTGAACAGTTCAGATGTGTAGCAGTATTGATTAGACAAGCAAGTAATATGGGGTTGAACAGTTCAGATGTGTAGCAGTAACATTCTTCTGCAGGTGCTTGCCTTTAGTTTATTTCTTTGATAAGTTTTTTTTTTTTTCAGTGATGTCCGTAGGTGTTTGGAGTTTGAGGGTAAACAAAATATGTTTGTACAAGCATAACCGAAATATTTAAAACTGTTATACATGTTTGTGGTTTTTATCATATGCCCCATTTTTTAAATTTTTGTTGGAAAAGAGCAAATGAAAATAAAATATTTGTAAGTGTGGGGAAATGTACTAATTATTTGTGAAAGTAGGTTTATGATGTGCAGAGTTTTGTTTTTTTAACTATTGTAAGGAGTGATTTACTCATTCAGTGACATTTCTTTAGTTGTGTATCAAACTTGGTGTGTTCAGTTTCTTCTTTAATACATTTTCATCAGTACTTTTTGAGTTTGTAATTTTAACTGGGATTAAATTGGTAAGGCCAGAACACCTCAGTGCAATATGTTTTTCTGTGTTTGTATATTATAATAAAACTGGTTGAAGTAACAAAAAATAGACCCATCTCACTTTGAGTCATAACTTACTGTCACAGTGTTTTTGTAATGATTACTAGATATATATAGGTTATAAGTGACAGAATAACATCAAGTTCATTAATCACAATTAACTTGTAGTATTCTAACAAGCACTTAGGGCAGTTATTTTTTTCTCAGAAAACTTTAAATAATTTTGTCGTGGATCCACAAAGTGCAACAGATATATTTAACTGCATGCAGATGTGATTTGAGTAGCCCCAGTGCTGGAGTTTTTGTTGTTTTGTAAACTTGAAACTATGTTTAATGGTTTATTCAACTGATATTTAAACAGTTCATGAGAGTTGGTAAAGTTTTCAAAACTGAACAAGTATAGACACGTGTTAAAATGAATGAATAGTTATTTTACTGTGAATTTAAGTACAATATAAATAACCAGTTTAATAGTTTATCATCCTCATACTCTATATACTTATTTTTTTATAATTTAAGAATTAAAAATGTATCAAAGGATTCTTTCATGTCACTGATTCATTCATCAGACAGTGTTTTGGTCCTAATACAACCAATGATAATTGAAGTCAGCTTTGTGAGAAGTGGCCAAAATCAAGAGTTACAACTAAAATTCTGAAAATAACATTTGCAATAGTGCTGAAACAAAAATACATAAACATCTGGTAACATAATTATTGTTTTTAGTTTTACAATGTGCACTTGTTTTCATCAGTTACTTTGTATAAACTTAAACATGCATAAATGTAAACAACATTGAATAGTATTAGATGCATTAGGATTTGTTACTCTTGTGTTTTATTTATTTATTTTTTTTTTTAAGTAATTACAGTATCTTGGGTAACATTGTTTGGTTTTATGCACTATGGTTTAACATGGTACGTTTTATTTGAATTCCTAATTCTAAAAACATGGCATGGTTTTCAATTAAACATCAATACATTTTTGAGGTTAGTGTTGTATTTCTCTACTAAATAGAAAGTTGCAGCAAACACTTTCAACTAGTATATGATAAAGATAAAAATATATACAAGCCTTTGGAGCCTTGAACTAAATCTTATTGACAACTTATTAAAATGGAGATATTATTTGGCGCTCGTCATCTATTCCTTTTTTGGACAAGACTTGGGAGCATGTTTAAATTTAATTCATGGATGAACATAGTACAAAGAGGCATGTGTCTAAAGGTGTTGTTGTCTTCACAAATAATTATCTATATATTTGTTTTACAGTTCCTGAAAAATTTTTAATCCTCATCAAATAATCCATATCATAATTTCAGAAATCTTCCACTTATTTGTACAGGTAACTTTAAAAAAGATTTGACTGATTATGTGCAGATGGTAATAAAAGTAATGTTGTAAAAATATGTCAGCATTGTTTAACAATTATGAAGTGTTTTGCTTGGAAATTTTCTGAGATTAGAATTTATTTTCCTTCATTTTATAAAATGTACTTTAGGCATTGATTAAACAAATATAAACATTAGTGTTGACTTCAAGATAGTGTTACGGTGTGTCTTTATCATTGTCCCAAGGAGTGGTGAATGTTTTGTCAGTTGTTTGTTTATAAACTTGGCATCATTTCATCATAATATCACACATACATTCTAACCCAACTCCAAGTTGATGACACATTAAGTGTATAAAAGTTCATGCAAGTTGACACTTTCAAAAGATACTCAGTTTTATAGTTCAATAACTGTATTAGTGGCTTTGAATTTTTTGTTCTTTTCTTTTTGGTTTGATAACTTCTAAAGCAATTACAATTAAGTGCTTTAATTACTGAAAAAACCCAAGATACAAGATGTTAAGTAACTCTAAAGTCTTAACAAGGATATAGAAAATCCTTTTAATAACCTAGTGATAAAAAGGGACTTAACACTGAAATACTTTTTGATCCTGTCTTACACAACATTTTATAAGGTGTCATGACCTTAAAATTGGATCCTTCACTTGCTCTTTGGGCTTTAGTACCAATAGAATGAACTGTAAAACTAGATGAAATCATAACAGTTGTAGTCTTGATGTCGTCGTTATATCAAAAACTAAAAGGTGATGATGTAGTATATTAAAGAAAATCAAATAACCTTTTTGTTGCATTCCAATAAGTCTAAGAAGAAACATGTACTTTTAGAAACTCCAAAATTAAATTTTATAGTTTCTTTAGCCATATTGTTAATTTGTTTTATTTTTTTTGTAATGTTCCAATCTTGCTTCTTTTTATTTTTTTTAGGAATATTTGACACTTACATGATGAATGTATTAGGATTAAGCAAATTCAAATTATTTTATCTTTTGATGTTTAATCATTTTGTAATAAGAATTTTGTATTTAGTAACTATGATATTGTTAATTTGAAGGTGTGGGATTTTTATGTAGTATATTAGAATGTGTTGCATTGTTAAATATGTGTTCCTATTGTATATAAATACTTTGTATGTTATTTTATCAGTCACTAGAGAAAAATGTTGAGTATATATTCAGAGTTAGAAAAATTCATATTTTGCCATTGCACATGTTTTGCATATAAAACACAAAAGTAAATATTCTTTTATATTAGAAAGTGCTTTAAGTTGGGTAAAACAAGATGGCTACTAAACATCATTTCTATATATATATAAAAAGTTGCCTTGTTTAGTCTTGTTTATGCACATTTCATTCAATGCATTTTTTGGTTTTAAATAAACTTGTGAAAGGAACAAAAAATTTGAAAAATAAAGCATAAGATAAAGTTTTGTTCTGATTTTGTGTACTACATATTTACACCAAGCACGACTAAATATGGTTATCCTGTTCTCAGTTTGTCTTTATTCTCAATTACTAGCACTGTTGTGAAAAAAAATGTTAAATGTGATAAGCAAGACCATTTATAATATATGCAAATATCAATGAACACAGAATAAAAGCAGATATCAATCTGCCAACCTTGGCAAGCTTTCAGCTGTCTATCACATACTTTTAACCATATCTGTAGATATGTCATAAATAGCTTTCTCCTAAAACATCCATTCTCAATCAACACAGCCTCTATCATACAAGTATCAATTTTTTTATGTTCTATAAAGTTTTTGAAATACACTTTAGACCTATCAAGTGTTTTACATTCACATAACTTTTGTTTCTTTCACAAGTTTATTTAAAACCAAAAAAAACCACTGAATGAAATGTGCATAAACAAGACTAAACAAAGGAACTTTTTTTTTTATATAGAAATGATGTTTAGTAGCCATCTTGTTTTACCCAACTTAAAGCACTTTCTAATATAAAAAGAATATTTACTTTTGTGTTTCATATTCTCTAGAATTTACAAACAACTATAGCTTTAAAATTAATGATATATATATAAAAGTGCCTAGACTATTACTAGTCTTTCGTAGGTACTGAATATGACAGATGTAGTGTGGTTGATATATTATAACACTTCTTCTTTCACTCCTGGGTTCTTAGAATTAAATGTTTATAAGAAACCATGATAAAGAATCTGTAGAACAAGATTTTCTATGAAACAACAAAAAAAACTTAAAACAAAGTTGTTTGCAAAATACTGCTGTTAGTACTTGATTTATATATATACACATCTATACAAAAATAGTATTTAGTTTTGCATTATCTAATACATATACTGAAATAGTACTTTGACTGATTGGGGCTGTTTACAAAGAAGTTCATGTTGTTTCATTAACGTTTGAAAATTTAAGCATACCACGTGTCTACTGTTAAACAAATAGTTTGAAACCCTATTCATTATGCATGTCATACGTAATGCTAAAAGATAAAAGTTCTACTTCTGTCAGGCTCTTTGCATATATTCTAATGAATGTACTTGGTTTTGTTTCATAATGTAGTACAGCAGAAGTGAAAGGTAGTCAGTAATATAATATTATCTGGTGGTAAGTACCACATGTATAACAGTAATTGCATTTGAAAGTAGTTGAAGTGAACTACAGTAGCTTGTATTGATTTTCTCTATCTTGTGAGCACCACTGGCAGATTATTTGCTTTCTGATGACACAGCAGTCTCTTTGAATGTCTCTAACCCGTTACCAGAAGTATTGATCGAAAATTGGACAGGAACCTTCATCAAAACTTTGAAAGGGCTCATCAGTGTTTCGGATAAGATGAGTTTCAGTGAAGTACCACTTATCTCATAGAAAATGCATGAGCTGTTACCATGTCTAAGTTTATTTTATGAGGCATGTGATATCATGCTTCTATACCTACTGTCACGTATACACATTGTAACAACTTGGATTACTTTGTTTGTTTTTCATTCAAGTAGGGCCACTTGTAATCTGTTTAAACTTCATGTATATAGAATGAAGACCAGGTGTTTAATGATCCTTTGACATTTTTACTACTTCAATAAGTCTGAAATATGACTGCTATGGTTATAAATGTATAGGTACTTATTTGTGAATGTGTAATGAGGACTATTATTTTGATGTGTAAGTACTTATTTGTGAACGTGTAATGAGGACTGTATTATTTTGATGTGTAAGTACTTATTTGTGAACGTGTAATGAGGACTGTATTATTTTTATGTGTATGTACTTATTTGTGAACGTGTAATGAGGACTGTAAACATTTGATGTCTATGTACTTATTTGTGAACGTGTAATGAGGACTGTATGATTTTTATGTGTATGTACTTATTTGTGGACGTGTAATGAGGACTATTAATTTTTGTGTAAATATTTTGTATACTGTTTGAAGCAAGTCTTCAGATTATTCACAAGATTATAAGTGTACAGGCTAGAAATGTTATATTGACAAACTTAGAACAGTAAACATTTTTTTTCATAATCATAGTGAAATATATAAATTGGTGTTTTGTTACAGCTTATTAACAGTTGTTTGTTTATAAACATATTTATTCTTGTTTCTTATTACTTGTGAGCATTTTTTTTCTGTTGATGGTTTAATTTTTGAGGTAAGGTAGGCACCTCTTGTGATAAAACAAAAAAAAAACTTGCTTAATAACATTAGAAAAACATTTACAAGTGCTTTGACTCTGGGTATTTTTGAAAAATACAATTTTTACTCTTAACGTTTTATAAATTTTAACTCTGTTATTCTAAAAACCTTCTTTTGTGGTTTACAGTGATGTCAACATGTAAGTTGGTTTAGGAATGCTGAAATTGTATGTATACCTGATAACTATATTATGTTAATTAATGTGTGGTTGTAATTTACATAAACGTTTAATTGAAAAAAGCAATATACCCTTGAGTGATTTAATGTTACATATTTGATGTGGTACACAGTGCTTATTAGTTAGAAAGTTAAAATTTGAACACAGGAATATTACATCAAAACATTTAATAGATAGTTTCTAATGGAGATTCTTTTCAATTGTATCAGATTTTACGGAAAATATGAAGAAAAAAATAGCTGAATAAAGTATGTTATACTGACTTTTACCTTCATTCAGTTCTTTTTATTGAAATCCCATGTGTTTCATCTGCAACTTTATCAAAAATATAACGTACATTGCAGCAAACTGAATTCCAGTGAATTATTTCTGAAGTTCAAGTGTTTCTTTGATATATATATATATATATATAATACATGCAAAAGTTAAATGTTTAGTAAGAAATTGATCACTAAATAGTTAATGTGATGTTCCTGACATTGTATCGTTGGTATATAAACTGGACAACTTTTTACTTTTGGTATAGCTATATGTTAAACAAGGCTTATATACACTAATAAACACCTAAAGTTTTTTGTTGTTCAAAACTTGAAAATAGTGTTGATAACTGGACCAATTGTTGGTTGAGATGTTGCAAAAGAAATCTCTGCTGAAGCTTTTTGCCAGACACTAAGCATAGCAGAACCATTTGGAAAATGAACTATAGAAAATAGTACAGCTTATAAAATGAGTCAGATCAACGTAGGCCACTTCACAAAGATTGCAGGATAGAATTAAACATGTACCCACATCCATAAGAAATAACAGTGTGAAAGAAAATAATTTACCATGTCGCTCCTGTAAAAAAAAAGTTAAAGCACCAAAATGTGAATCAGCAATTGGCCAGCATTTACTAGTGAACCTGACAACTACATAGATAGCAGGTTTGAAATTATTGCAAATGGTCAGTCGACCTTTCATCTCTATATTTTGGAAGCCACCTTTATTAAAACACATAAACCTGTCCTTTGCCACCAAAAAGAATTTCTATACAATCTACACATCCTTCAGTAGGTCTGTGACATTTCATGATTGGCTAAAGAACATGCCAATCAGTGATTGCCTTACCACCCTACATTAATCTGACTCATTTTATAAGCTGTACTAATTCCTATAGATCATTTTCCAGATGGTTCTGCTATGATTAGTGTCTGGTGAAAAGCTTCAGCAGATATTTCCTTTGCAACATCTCAACCAACAATTGGTCCAGTTATCAACGCTATTTTCAAGTTTTGAACAACTCGACTTTCAAGATTTACGTATCTACATGTGCCGATGTTTCCATTTATCAACATTATATTTTAAGATCTGTGCAAGAACTCAGCTAACAGATGTTTCTGTATATAAAAGCTATCTTCAAACCTAGAGTCTAAAAACATTGGTCGTATCTTACACCTGAAAGGTCTTCCTTTCTCTTTCATTTTCTTGATTATATATGGTGAATTTTCCATTTAACTGAGCTGAAGAAGTGTAAAGACAAGTTCATCAAATGTACTCAAAATAAAGAATTACTTTCCAGGAGTGAGACCATGCTTTCATATCTTGAATTCATTTGAAGATTGTAGAAAAAATTACTGAGATTTTAAAGCCTGTTTTGTATATCATTATTAAACTTTTTAAGGTAATTTTTGCTGCTTCTCTAAAAAAAAGTGTATGAGAACATTATATATAAATTTCAGGGTGGTGGTTTTTAAAAACTGGCAGTGAGAATGTATTACAGTATTATGTATTAAGTGAATAACTGTAATTCTGCTGGTATTATATTAGTTTGACTAAAATCACTTTTATATTTATACAGTTTTACACTTTTTTTTTCACAAAAAACCAGTTTATTATTCATTTAATCCAGTAGCATTCTAAATAAGACATTCAGTTTATTATTGTTTAAATGATTGTCTAAATGGGCAGGAGTCTTCATATAAAGCTTGAAGCTAATCATTGTTTCTTATAACAAGAGTGTTTGTGGAGTACAACTTATCTCATCGATAATACACAAACTTGCATGTATATATGTTGAAACAAAACTTTATATTAGGTACAAGAAAACAGTAATATTAAATGTTTTCAATTGTTTTATATTTTAAGGTGTCAAGAAAAAGCCCAAAAGCTATATAGTCTCGTCAGATTCATACAGAAGTAACTACGACACTGTTTCCCGAGAGAACCCTTACCATGATGAAGAGGGTCTTCGGGATGTCCAGTCTTCCAGTGTGATATTAGGAGCTGTTTGTGGAATTGTGGGTTTTCTAATCATCAATGTAACTGTGGTGATGGCAGTGAAACGATACTCCCAACGTCAGATGAGACATCGTAGGATACTGGTAGTAGAGTAAGTACAATACTATTTGGAAATGTCAGATGAATGGGTATAATTTGATAACTTTATAATAATGAGAATACAAGTAACATAATCTGATCAGTACTTGGAAATACTTGTCTTTGTACATCCATTTCCAGATTTTCTAAATAATTTGGTAGGAATTAACTATATTTGAAACTACTACTCATGTATGCATGTGTGTGGGAAGGGGGGGGCTTGCCATTCATTCTTTGCATGGCCTTGCGTGACTGCACTACATCCAAATCTTTCCTGATAGCACCACACAATGCCAGAATTTTTAGTGTATTACTAGTGTTAGTAATAAAGTATTGTTACGTCTCCGTTTGTTAATTAACCTTCCATAACTTCGTTCCGACGAAATTTTAGCGACACAAGTCCTTACTTAATAAAACTGGTTTATTCTTTTCGAATACAACTTTATGATACACTTATTTTCAACAATCGCGCTAAAACAAACGCTATATCAACGAATGTCAATAATACTTCTGAGTGCAGTTCAATTACTCACTATCTACACACACATTACATTTATTCCGTCACGTTGTCACCCTCTTTTATATACCAGACTACCCTATATCTAGTAAATACTAGAGCATTCGCCAAGGTACAGGATAGTTCTAGAAAGCAGGTGGCGTGACACTAGTCACATGACCTTGCTGACGCAACAGTATTCATTCATTTCATATAGTTAAAGAATTTTGCAAATGGTCTTTTTCGAACAAAATTCTACAGTATAGTTCTTTTGGAATAGGCGGTTGCCAACAGATGAGAACAATAAATGGTTTAATCCTAATAAATAAATATTTATATTTATTTCAGTACTATACTGAGGTGGAACAGTTAGAGGATCACATTGCTAAATTAATCTGTTTTGACTGAGTTGATGTCGTGCCTTTATTTGGTAATGATGTATCTGTTTACAAATCATGAACTGACATCAAAGTTTCACATTAATACTAAATAATTAGTGTTCTTTCCTGTATTGATACCCTGCTTATGGAGGATAGTTCACAGCACATATTCTGCTTTGCACCCATTTCTGTCAGAGTTTATATCATTAAATGTTTCTTGCCAGAACAGTTATCTTTCACCATTGTTATTTCATTTGATGCACCTTCTTTATTAGGTTGATTTTAATTTTTGTGTTTAGTTTTTAATGTTCTTGAGAGTAATGTTGCGTCAGCGAGGTCACGTGACTAGTGTCACGCCACGTTTCTAGAACTATCTTGTTCCTTCGTGAATGCCCTAGCATTTACTATATATATGTTTGTCTGGTATATATATATATATATATATATATATA